TCCCTCCGGCAAAGGTTACTCTTGCATTAGCAAGCTCGGACCCTCCGATCTTAGTGCACTTCATTCCAACTAAGACCAAAATTGATCCGAAGAAACACAGGATAATACAGATGATGATAAGAGCCCGGCACATGTGAATGTCCCCTGTCCACAAGCAGAAAAAAAGCAGTTAAAGGCACTAAGTTCACTGGGTTTTTATCATTCTGAGGGACGGTTTGCTTACAGTTCAGTGCCAGCATGGAGGGAATTCCCTTGCAGTCAGATACTCCAGTTGAATCAGATATGCAGTCCTTCCACAGGTTCGAGTAGTAGTTTGATGTTGCCAGGACCACGTTGCTGACTTCAGACCAGGTCCAGATATCTGTTGGCATTGTGGAGCAGACCAGAATCCATCCACACACACATACTACAAAGCAGCCTATCTCCATGTACATCACCATAGTCCTATAACCCATTATTGCTTCAGATTTCAGCACCAAGACAGACTACTAACAAATCTAAGCTCCTTAACACAAACCACAGTGCATTTTTTCCAGAACTGTGTTCTTTGAACTCCCTTCTCACGTGCTGAATAGAGGAGGGCATGCAGTGGCACCGCCCCCCTGAAGAAGTCACTTAGATACGTGACAAAACATTTCTCTATTTGAAACGCTACTTGAGAAGGAACAGTATAAATAATAAATAAATAATAAGCCTTCTAGGTAGGATTTCATTACCTGAATTATTAGTGATGCACCAATGAATCCATACTATTTACATACTTAACCTTTTAATGTTAATACACATCTACTCATATATAAGCATATATTATTAACAAAACTTACCAGCAGTATAAAGTTCACTAAAATCATCTCCAGCTGCAAGCTGCAAGTAATATACACATTAAGTAATTAACAGCTATGATTAATAATGTGATTTATACATTCATTTTTTAAATTATATTTTGAAGTCTAATAGCTTGCAGGATGATGCTGTTGTTTATATAGTCAAAGAAGAAGGAGTCAAAATACAAGTTTTCTCATTCAGAGAACATTTATTTAAGCCATTCAAAATAAAGTTTAAAATCTTGTACAGTGCCACTTTTCATGTGTTGACCTCTGTATAAATACACAGGTTTATCTATCTTTCATCTGTTTTTTTTTTT